ATTACACCCGATTTCAAATGAGTGCGAACTCTCGAATTTTTTTTCGGACGCTAAACTTTCACTCGACCGTCATTCACTCGACCACTTGGTAACCTGGCACAGCTTGAAGCGGGTAAAATTATCCAAGTATAAAAACCATGGTTAATGTATGTCTGTGGGCTAAATTCCTACGGTTTGTGATCGCGCTGTACAAAACGAACTTATTGTAAAAACTAGTTTCGGTTAGCCAAGCTAACATACTAAAGATCTACTTAAGCACAGTGCGGCCTGTCTTAGAGTACGCTGTCCCAGTGTGGCAGGCTATTCCAGACTACCTCTCCGTAACTATAGAGCAGATACAAAGAAGAGCGCTTTACATTATCTACCCTGAGGCCGAATCTTATACAAACGCCCTACAACTGGCTCAATTAGATCGACTGGAAATTAGAAGAGACTATTTATGCACTAAGTATATGAATCAAATGAAATCCCCACAACATCCCATACATCATCTTCTACCCAGACCTGCACCAGCATCAAAATATAATCTAATGAGGAACTCGCCTAAGTTTTATCTGTACAATTCTGTGTCGCAATGCAGAACCAAGAGATCGACGAACGTTTTTACATTCCGATACTTTAATTAATCATATAAATTACATAGTTTGAATAATTTGTAAATAGCAATTTTATCATTTATACTAGAATTTGCAATTATTACTTGTTAATTCAGTTCCCTGAACTGCAAGAGAGTACTAATAAACTATTATTATTATTATACTTAACTTTCTCAGCTCACAATTACAACGAAACAGTTGAAAAATAAATAGCGTGACAAACACTGACAAGCGCGCGCACTTTAAATCGCTTTTAGTGTTCGTAGGCTGTTCTTTGTTAATTTTACTAGTTTTTACTTATTAAAATGAAGAGGTTATCAGACGATATTCGGTGGAAGGTTATTTACCATGAACTTATGTACGGTCCAAGCATTAAGGAAACTTGTAGAGAGTTATTTGTAGGGAAAACGTTTGTTTGTAAAATTCGACAACTTTATAAACGTACAGGAAATGTTGCTGTACATACACATATAAGTGTCATTGTAAACTTGTATTCAATCAATCAGGGTTTTTACAGCAATACGAATAAGAATATATTTACTCTTCGAAAGAAGGTTACATTTAAACATAAGCTACTTCGTTTTCAACCTTTGATTTAAACAACAATGTTGCAATTATTTTTTCGCTTGCTTGATAACTTTTTTATTGTAAACTTAAATTGTTTACATAACGAAAGAAAAGAAAAATGTGTATTTTAGTTCAACATAAGAATATCTTTTCAAGATGCAGAAAACAACACCCTCAAGTTCATGGTTCTTGCAAAGCTATACCTAATTGTGCAAAGTATTATTTGCATGCATTTGATGTTTACAAGTTAATAAAGCCAAATTTAAACTACAAAYCAGATAGAAAATTATATTTTTTAATCAAGTTTAGTTGATATTCTTCTAATTGTTCTCAATTGCATTGAGTGAAGTAGAATGTTCTGTGAAACACAAGGACCACAGGTATCTCGAATAAAGACCACCGCTTCTTCCTCCATAATTCTAAATGCGAAAGTCCCGCTACAGAAAATCACGCATCACTTACCAACCTCGTTCCCAGGGCCAAGACCGGCCATTTTGTGGAGTCCGTGATGGCCCTGGGAACGAGGTTGATCACTTACTAAACACGTTTGCCTGGTTACCAAGCGGTCGAGTGAATGACGGTCGAGTGAAAGTTTAGCGTTCAAAANAAATTCGAGAGTTCGCACTCATTTGAAATCGGGTGTAAGCGCTTTCCAAGCGATCCAGAAGCAAAGTAGAGTGTTAGTTATTTTCAGTTCAAAATATTATGAGTGTCGGGCATCGTATCGCCCCGATTTTGAAACCGCCGGTCAAGCATTGCGTTATGCTATTATTTGTATTTATGAGTGTTGTGCTCGCACAGTCACATTGGTATAATCATTGAAAATTAAATTTTTTTCCGAATATTTAGGTTTACTGCAAATATCTTTGTTGTTCTGTTTATTGTCTTTTATAATTGAACAACCTAATCGAGGTTAACTCCATAAGCTGAAATTGTCTTCGATGCTTCAAAAGGAAGATCTAATGGGAAAACTATTTCMTATCGGCTAGCGAGCAGTCACTCATTTGAATGTCCCCCTGGGCAGATCCTCTAAGRAGCATCCTTCGGGCAGCAGCTTTCTCGCTTCATCTTCATAAAATGCCGCACGGGCAGTGTTGAAACCTTTTCCACGTATGTTGCCATTTGTATACAAAAATTTTGATATGGCTGTAAAGATMTGTGCAAGAATCTTCTCTATTTTAGGCATCTTTTGAATAGCATCACTTGCGACTACTCTTTTGAAGCACTGGCCATCCATGGTCTCAGTATTGGTAGTCATAGGTTTTCCGCATCTAGACACGGTGCTTGTGCTGAGACTGGATGTGGATGAAACTGTTACATTTGAATCACTGATGCGGTGCATAGAGGAATCCCCTAAGGATTCGACGTCATCATCTTCTGAGCTTGAAGCTGTAAAATACTCTGATTCGTCTGTGCTTGAAGCTGTCAAATCTTCTGATACGTCATGCTTTGAGGCCTGATCTTTGCTCTTAGAACAAGAATCGTACCATGTTTCTCTTTGTTGTTCCTTCAACGCGTTTACAATGATAGCCAGTTCTTGCGGAGTGCATCCTGGGTGCACTATTTCCGAATCTTTCCAAAGTTCATTCCAAACAGCTGTGTGCAAAATTGCGAATATGTCCTGTGAAGGTATAGTTCTGAAACTTTCGAAACAAGAAGCTAGTTCAAAAGCCTCTACTCTTGTCATTTCCGGGTTAATTATGTTTGGYACAATCAAATTGCTGCTAGGGATAAAATAGTTTGGGATGGTCGCTTTTTCTAAAAACAYGATGAGCTTTTCCACGACTTTGAAGAAGCAGGATGCTAAGTTATCATCACTCCACTCCTCTAGAGGTATTTCCTCACATACCCAGAAAAACGTAGTTTTTAAAAGGTAASTGCTCAGGCCGGACRATTCGTCGGAGCCAATTCCCTTACKTTCTARCTCGCGGAAAAAAACGCGTGTTGCAATGATATTCAAAATCTTCAACAGCATGTAGCATTTCACCTGAACCGCATTCAAGGTGGAAACCAAAGTCTTTTCGGCCAACGAAAAGCTCAGTCGCCAATTTTTGTAGTCCTTTGTATTTCCAACACAATGAAAAGCTAGTTTCAATCTTGTCTCAGGTGTAGGTTTTGTACTTTTCGGTACAATATGACAGCCTTTTGACACAATATCTTTAATCACGTTCCATGGCGGCCATCCACTGGGTCGTTCGCGCACWGTAAATTCCCAGGCTGCACWTGGCCATGTGGAGCACTTGACTGCTGGAACGTGGTCGAAGTAAAACTTTGTTCGATCTGGCGATGAAAATATGTCGCYCAAGTMGTGTCTGACAGTTTGCGAAGCATGTGTATCACGTTCGTCAGCAAGCCTTCGTTTTACGTTGATTCCTGGATATTCAGCTTCATCAATAGGARCAGYGGCCCCTGAATGTTCAGAAGTATTTTCGATGATACCGTTTTCTTCGATAGAAGGTCCYYTGATCCTGATMTGGTCTGCCCATATTTTTGTTGGTGAAATACCTTCTCCCCGTGGAATTTCTCTCAAAGTCAGACTTTGACAGGCAGAGCACAAATCTCCATACCTGTTGGGGTTTAATCCTCCCAAATTGGCAGAATAACAACTGCACTCTTGAGGTGAAAAGYCACTCATCGACGCAATCAAGAAAGCTAGTACAGAAATGTATACCAGTGCGAAGTGCTCTTGGTCATAATACTCTTCTGGTTTAGGATAGACGTTTGCAAATTGTAGAAGTGTGTCCTTCGTTTCTAACACAATCGATACCGGTAGGAGTTTCTGCAAAGTAACATAACCTGCCCTTGTTCCTGGCCGAATAAAAACACGCAGTACTCCAGATTCATCAAATGGTGTTAAGAACATCGAATGAATTTCGTACGCCATCATTTTGTGAGATTCATACATAATGTCTAAATCGTGTAGAATTGCGTAATTCAACCGGTCATAGTCCGTTCTACTGTCAATAATTTCAAGGCCAAATAAGGCCAGTCCTTCCTCTGTGCTTCCGGTTAAAATCGGCTCTCCAAGATTCTTGCTTACAACATATTTGAGTTTGTCTCCAAGAACTTCAGATATTTTGGTGCACTGATTCATGTCTTGCACAAATGTTATACATTTTAACAGTTTGCTGAGGATTGGACAATCGTGTTGCTCAGATACTCGCATTTCGTGGTTCCAGACAAGTTTTCTCACAAACTTTGTCGTATGTACACAGCTTATGAAATTAATTAGACGCCACAATTTTTCTTTTTCTATGACCTCCTCAGTGAAGCCTGGGTGTGGTTNCCACTGGGTCGTTCGCGCACTGTAAATTCCCAGGCTGCACATGGCCATGTGGAGCACTTGACTGCTGGAACGTGGTCGAAGTAAAACTTTGTTCGATCTGGCGATGAAAATATGTCGCTCAAGTAGTGTCTGACAGTTTGCGAAGCATGTGTATCACGTTCGTCAGCAAGCCTTCGTTTTACGTTGATTCCTGGATATTCAGCTTCATCAATAGGAGCAGTGGCCCCTGAATGTTCAGAAGTATTTTCGATGATACCGTTTTCTTCGATAGAAGGTCCTCTGATCCTGATCTGGTCTGCCCATATTTTTGTTGGTGAAATACCTTCTCCCCGTGGAATTTCTCTCAAAGTCAGACTTTGACAGGCAGAGCACAAATCTCCATACCTGTTGGGGTTTAATCCTCCCAAATTGGCAGAATAACAACTGCACTCTTGAGGTGAAAAGTCACTCATCGACGCAATCAAGAAAGCTAGTACAGAAATGTATACCAGTGCGAAGTGCTCTTGGTCATAATACTCTTCTGGTTTAGGATAGACGTTTGCAAATTGTAGAAGTGTGTCCTTCGTTTCTAACACAATCGATACCGGTAGCAGTTTCTGCAAAGTAACATAACCTGCCCTTGTTCCTGGCCGAATAAAAACACGCAGTACTCCAGATTCATCAAATGGTGTTAAGAACATCGAATGAATTTCGTATGCCATCATTTTGTGAGATTCATACATAATGTCTAAATCGTGTAGAAATGCGTAATTCAACCGGTCATAGTCCGTTCTACTGTCCACAATTTCAAGGCCAAATAAGGCCAGTCCTTCCTCTGTGCTTCCGGTTAAAATCGGCTCTCCAAGATTCTCGCTTACAACATATTTGAGTTTGTCTCCAAGAACTTCAGATATTTTGGTGCACTGATTCATGTCTTGCACAAATGTGATACATTTTAACAGTTTGCTAAGGATTTGACAATCGTGTTGCTCAGATACTCGCATTTCGTGGTTCCAGACAAGTTTTCTCACAAACTTTGTCATATGTACACAGCTCATGAAATTAATTAGACGCCACAATTTTTCTTTTTCTATGACCTCCTCAGTGAAGCCTGGGTGTGGTTCTTCAGGGGTTCTGTCTTCGCTTTGGTTCATCTTACAAATATTCCGGCTTACTCAAGTGAAGTTTCATCCATGAGCATTAAATCCCAAGTATTCAAGTAACCATTTTACTGCTTTACTGGTGTGCACCCTGGGCCAGATTTATTGGCGAAACCATAAAGATCAAAGAAGTTAAGTGTCTAAAAATTGATTACTGATGGCTGCATGTATACTGAAATTAAACAAGAGTCAATGTCAAATTAAGCTTATTGTGACTGCGAACCTATGTATAGACCGCATAGGTTACGTTTACGCCCTATGTGTGCCATACATTTCGCATCTGTTTAACAATTTTACCATAACTTGTAGAATTCTCGCGCGCTGATTGGTCTAGAGCCGTTGTCGATCGTAGGACAGACCGATGAAATGAGGAATCGCTCGAGCACGGAGCCGGCGCTCGCTAGACACGGTTTTGTCTTGAAAGTTTTATTTTGTTTTCGGCTTTGTTATGGTAAAAAACAAATCGAAATCGCTTTTCTATGGTCTGTACGCTTATCGACAATTCAAATGACGCCAGAAAATGATCAAAACTTGGCAGAATTCTACAAGTTATGGTAAAAATGTATCAGTACTGCATATAATTATTATTTTTACTTTTTTTTATTTTATAGAATATACACCTAATTGAAGAAACTTTGTCGGGTCCAAAAAGGTCAAATCATAGAAGGTAAGACCGAAAGGGTACTTGGGAAGACAAACAATGTGGCTAATTTCATACAAACAGCTCTCCAGCATAAAAGACTAGCATGCTGTTAATCTTACTAGCTCTAGCTACTTGATTTACGGTGCACTTATACGCCGAATATGCAAATGTAATCCCAATTTAGTGGTACTCAAAATCCCTTTCGGTCTTAGCTTCTATGATGTGACCTTTTCGAACACGACTACGTTTTTTCAATGAATGAGTTTCCAGTAATTTGATCCCTCACCAAACGCAATGCATGCATGGATTGCCAAGGGGCAAACAAAGCGTGAACTACAAGAGTTTGTATGGCGGAAATTCGTATTTTCATGTTTATCGCTCGATTTTTCAGTGGATATGGAACTTTTTTACGCTGTTTTTACGGGATATTATTAGGAGGAAGTTGTACAATCTGGATACGTAAGTTTAGAACGATATATGTAAAATTATAGGCGAAAAACTCGATTTTCTTTCGCACTTCGCAGTGTGAATGTACACAGTAACACTTCGCTCACGGACTTAAAATAGTGAGTTTTTTTGTCAAGATAAATGCATGATTGCTCAATAAAATAATTCTCTATATATTCTACAGTGTGTGAAACATTGTTATCGAAAATTCGAGGGTTAGGGTGAGTTTTTTGACCTCTAGAATGTTAACTTAAGAAAGATCTAAAATARCATTGTATCCGTTCGCGGTGATGGAAATTGTTTATATATTGCTGTCGCTGTATTGCTTTGTGTTTGAACAAAAAGTGACCAAGGACACGCGGAATTGTAGAGCTAATATGGTTGTTTGATTGAGGCAAATGCACAGGTTTTTGAGCCGCTTTTATTTACTGCACGATCAGTAGAACAACATCTCACTTTGTCCTCATCGTCCTCATAAACAATGTTGGCGTGCTATTAGAGCACACTTTGGTACTTTTTGTTACCTTAAATTGTGCTTTGTTTATTGCTCTATCCCACGACAACGATTTCTTTCTTCTATTTTTTTTTTTGGGAAAAAAACTCAAAATACCAACATTAGAAATAATTTTTTACCTTTCTGGATACCTCCGATCGTTGTCACAACCACACAGAGAACAATGGTGATCGCCTTTTGGCATATTAATTTTGGATAATATTTTAATATCTAAAGTTTGTAGTGTACAGTAACAATGTTTCACACGCTGTAGCATATGTGTAGGATGATTTCATTGAGAAACCATGCATTTATCTTGACAAAAAAACTCACTATTTTAAGTCCGTGATCGAAGTGTTACTGTGTACATTCACACTGCGAAGTGCGAAAGAAAATCGAGTTTTTCGCCTATAATTTTACATATATCGTTCTAAACTTACGTATCCAGATTGTACAACCTCCTCCTCCTAATAATATCCCGTAAAAACAGCGTAAAAAAGTTCCATATCCACTGAAAAATCGAGCGATAAACATGAAAATACGAATTTCCGCCATACAAACTCTTGTAGATCACACTTTGTTTGCCCCTTGGCAATCCATGCATGCATTGCGTTTGGCGAGGGATCAAATTACTGGAAACTCATTCATTAGGTGTATATATATTGCACATTGCCTAGGCTACGCCTGCGATGTTGCAAATCACATATTGAAAGTTTATTTCTAATAAAATTTTTCATGCTACTACTACCACCTACCACTACCACTACCACCTACCACTACCACTATTACTACCACTACCACTACCACTACTAGTACTACTAGTACTACTACTACCACTAGTACTGCTGCTGCTGCTGCTACTGCTACTACTACTGCTACTACTACTACTACTGCTACTACTACTACTATTTTTTTTCCAAAAGCATACATGCAGTATAATGTAATCATATGAGGAAGTAGGTGATCCCATTAAAGAGTGTTCAATACACATATGGAGCTAAGTATATATGTAATGACGAAGAGGCAAGATTTGCTGTTACTCCGAGTTTCGTGCTCACACACTCATCAGACAGTATTTCTATAATGTACATTAAAAATATAGAATAATAAAAATATATACATATTATAATTATAAACCATTCTATTAGAGTTGATATGCATTAAAAATATATATAAAAATTAAATAGATGATGATACATTCATGATATATTTATGGACAGCTCTGTGCGTTTGCCACATCTATATGATATCTACATTTATAATATGTTGTATTTAATGTTTCTTGATCTTGAGCATGTGTTTTGATTTTATTCAGTTCTTATAAAGAATGATTTAATAACATTCTTATAGTCTTACAAACAAACCTTACAAATCATTGTTGATCAGTGTAAACATTGAAAACGTTTCATTTAACCTTGCTAACTGCTTTTTTTCTGGAAAAAACTATTGATTTCTGTAATGTAAGCAATTATAATACTGGTTTTGTTTCAATAAAAGTAAGTACAAAAATTSAGATCATACCATTCTAAATAATTTTTGCATGTACTTATATTATATGCACTACAATAAGGATAAGGGTTTAAGTTACAAAGTCAATTGTACAAAGTACAAACATTTTAAAGAAAGACATWGAGAAAAATACAGGACCTGTTAATTATGTTGACAGTAGAATAACAATAAGTGCATCATATAGTCAAGGAAACATGATGTTTGTAGAAAATGCTGGCCAACAATGTGTTGCAATGAGGCTTTGTGCYTTAACTCATAACAGAATCAGGGTTATGAATATTGATATAAAAACAATAAACCTTATTCAATTTGATTGTTGATTACATTGGAGTTGCTATTATTTGCTGCCCTGATGCAGGTCATTTAAAAGTATTTATAAGTACTCAGTTATCCGCAAGGGAATTGTGTACTATTACAATCTATTATAATATTTTTTAAGYTTATAKCACCMAAAAGAGGCATCAAAATTRCTAAGCCTGTCTCTGAAATATCAACTAYACAATCAGAAGTACAAAATTGTCGTCCAGGTGTCTCAATAGAGCGGTTACATGGGCTTCCTGAAGCAATGTTAATCGTCTACTTCAAGCATAGATGACTCAGGGTTTACATTTGAAATATCAACAATCCTATAGATAAAATTACATTAAGACATATATAATAATACCATGATCATCTCGGATTCCATTGTCTAATTCCGAGGGGTTTACAAACCCGAATTTCCCTCATGAATAACATGAGGGAGATTTAGAAGACAAAGGATTCTTTCGTCTTTTACTAAATTCCCATCTATTTAATTTATGCAAGGGAAATATGCGCCTTCAGGACTTCCACAAATTCTCCCTCGGTTTGGGAAAATTTAATCACTAATTTCCCTCGTTCTCTCGTTCCCTAGACTTGTCCGGCAGTGCAAATTCTATTGCTGGCTTTGTTCACAGTATAGTAGTTTAAATAAAAGCAATACCTCACAAAATCAATAAAGGTATCAAATAAATAGTTAACAGTAAATTTCTGAGTTGAAAAATGCCACAAAGCTTGGAATGAAATATATATAAATGCTTACCGTACAACTTCGTGTGATTTTACAGATTTTAACCAAGACATTACCACGCATAAGCCACGGATTTTGCTTGAAACCCCATCATAATTTAAGAGTGATGTAAACAATGCACTTCGAAAGTATTTTAGCAAGAAGGGGGCGGCTGATTAGACTCGGGGAAGCCGTTCAATTGCAAAAAATCCTATCTGACTGACCTGAGGCATCTGACAAAAGGGTTCACTTCATCTCTATTGTGAAACTATCGGAGTACCAGTCCAGCGCATCCACAGGGATCCCGTATCATTGCTTGACTTTCGATTTTTTTTTGTATTATTGAGGTTTTGAGGTTTTTTTCTCATATAATATAAAATTTCATTCAGATCCTACTGAGTTTTCTTGGAAGTACAGGAAGCCCAAACGATTACAACATTCACTGCGTTTATCTTCATTTACGCCTATTTTTCAGGAGGAGCCGACGGGGTCTGTTCTTCTGAATGTCTTTTCTTGTGCGAAGTTTTTCCTGGGAAAGGGATTTTGAGCTACATTGTTGACAATCTCACAAGCAAATGTGTCGCCCTTCCTTCTTTTTTATAATTATGTTCCTGGGTTTTTATTGTCCAAAAAGGCTTATATAACGTTTTTATGGTCAAAAGCATATGGAACTTATGGGGGACAAATAGTCCGTGATCRCTCAAGCTTRRYCTGACAGTCSGTATGAAGTGCCAAATTTGACGAAAAAAGGCCAGATTTCAAGGCTTTTTGAAGAAATGTAGCCTGTGTACATCCGTGGGGTGAGAAACGGAGGTACACAGGCTAGAAGAAATGCGGCGACATTAAAAACAATCGTAAAAACCTAGCACCGGATTTAAGAAATAAAATCTATATGCGACCTTTCTGGGTATTTTTTCATGAGAAAATTCGAAAATCCAATCACGTATTTTTGCCCTTGAAGAGTTGAGGTTGAGCATTAAAATAGTATGGCGATCCATGTTTTCACCACAGTTCGCTTCAAAAAACTGGGCCTCGCGTATAACTTATTTTGTTAATAAAAAACCTAGCACCGGATTTAAGAAATCAAATGTATGTGTGACATTGCTGTGTATTTTTCGTGACAAAATTTAAAAATCAAATTACGTATTTTCGCCTTTGAAGAGTTGGCGTTGCTTCGCATCCGTTTGCGTTTCGGTATTCCTGTCCCGACGATGAACGGATGCAAAATAGACTACTTCTGTAGGCACAAGCAACAAAAATCAAACTTGAATTTTTCAAATTATTGCTTTCTTATTATATGTTAAAAATGTACTCAAAACTATGCAGTTTTGTGTTAATTCAATATTTGAAAAATTTATATCAGTCAGTGAACGTAACTGTGATATTATATGTACATGTACTTTCCTTTCTAGAGTTGACTTTGCTATTAATAGTATTTAATGGTCAGATGATGATGTTAATGAGGTCGATCGACGACAAAATATCAATTAACTCCATTGTATTATATTTCATGAAGTAAATAAATAAATTACAYVMATATATACATGCATGCATGGATGCATGAGTGAGCCTGGACAATAATCCAAGCAAATGTCACCCGATGTATGGCAATAAGTTCCATATGTTGGGAAATTTGTATTTCACTGGCAAAAATTCTTAGAAAGTTTTCTTGCCTGTAGAGTTCTTTTTTACTGAATTATTCGCTGGCAACCAGTTGTGACTTACAGCTGTCTGGGACATAAGAAAGATATATTTCTCCCAGGAACCCGTCGGCTCCCCCTAATTTTTTTATTGCCGGCTTTCATGTCCGAGCAGGAGGCTGGGTTCAAGTTTTAAAATTGAGAAAAATCGCCAAGTTACCTATATCATCTTGAAGAGCATATAAAAATTGATCCCAAGTTTTGTTTATTTTAGATGAATATCTAAGAACTTGAAGCTCTTCAAAAATGTTTAAATTTACAAAAGAATGCATATTATACATGGATATTGGTTTAACAATTATTTTCGGACCATTATTTTAATTTTTACACGGCAGACTATCGTATGGGGACAGGGAGCCCGCCACTAAGAACGGCTGCGAGGAGACTAATGATCGTACTCGAATAGCGTCGAACTTAGGATCACGGGTTAGATTTACTCGATCACTTCTAAGCGATTCTGTTTTCTTTCCTACTTTTTTTACTGAAATTTACTATTCTTATTTTTCCTGTAGATATTTCATAGATCATAATTAAATAGCGGCGTTGAACTGATGATCTCGGGTTCGATTCTCGACTTGAGCAGCTTCTAAACATTTTTTTTCTTTAAAATATACTCGTTCATTTTTTCGTTCTAAAATCAGTTTATGCAAAGCAAACTTTCATCTTACAAATTCCCTGAGGATAATGCGAATGCAATCAGGTATGTTCCAAGAAGTGATTCTTTTTAGGAATTAGTTAAAGTACAACAGAGGTTATCTTTTAATGTAGTCCTATAAGTTTTTTTTTAAAGATTAATATGTTATGACATGCGCAGTAACAGTCTCACCTCTAACGGAAAGTATAACCTTCGAGGTAAATCATTTTGTGGTGCTTTTGACACACTTTGGAATATTCTAGATCTGTTTATGTTTACGATCTGACTTATGTCGCGCCAACTTGGAGTCATAAACTTGAAAACACTAGCCTAGTGCTTTCAAGTTTACTCGCGCATGTCATCCATTGACAGTTTCCCTTTAAGTGCACGTCTCTTCAATTAATTCTTATTTTTTGCATTTACATCGACCATGAGGATTTACTAAATACCACAAAAGTACTAAACCTTAACAATATACTATAATATAAAGTTGCTTGAGCAAATTTCACGGATGCCACTTTTTCACTCTCCCCTCCAACTCTGGATTCTCAACCCTACTAATGGTAATTATTGCACAATCACTGACGAGAAATTGATGTAAATTACATTTATTGTTCATATTTTTCACAMGTTGAATTGATTTGCACTTGCTCTTATTAATGGCCGTAGATTCTTGTCGATTCCTCCATCTGACATCTAAAGCTTTCACAAACATCTAAAAGTGAAAAAAAGATTGTTTTTTTTTACAGATTTTACTTACGTTCTCACAGTCGTTCATTTAAAAATGATAAACAATTTATTCGGAAACGCATCATAATTACCTTAGTAAGGCCAAGGAATGGTTTCACTCTTGCGTGTTTCTCCATTCACGTTAGTCGCTACGCAAACGTATTCCAGCCTCGCGTTGTGATTACTGATTTGCGATAAAACAAGACGAGAACCAATGACCTTTCCACTGTTATTTCGAATCTCTTCAAACTTTGGCTTGCCAAGAAAGTCAACTTAATAAGAAGAAAGGAAGATTGGTAATGAAAAAATGACAGTGRTGATGACATTGATAATAATAAAAAATCATGGCAATATTGGCAAATATTATATTGAAAGCTAGAAATATTCCAATACCATTGCAATGCAAAAGCTATGACAACGGCAGTATCTAAWGATATAAACAGACTGGTAACGACATCGACAGTACTAGAGTCAATTKCGTATGAGTGGGAAACGACGGTAGAAATTAACTCACAGTTACCGACCTGGCCTTCACAATTTTTGTGAAGCAATGAGACACTAGAATTTGGTTACAGTACCGTATTACGGTTACAGTACAGTACCGTCCGTTTCCCTCTCAAACGAAATTGAYTCTATCGATAATTGAAAACGCAAAGGGAAGGGCAATGCGATAGGCATTAATATAAAGAATTACCAAATTKAATCAATGAGCTTGAAAAAGCGGCAATGGCAACGACAAAAATATCATTAACAGCACTACCAATGAATGAAAAAGTAATAGTCAACTTTACTGTTATTTTGGTTCGATGACTATGTGCAAAAGAACGCACACGAGGCTCCGGTAAAACAATGGATAATCTTGATTTATTCTTTTATTACACCGCAGCCTTGTCTGCAAGTCTTTTGTGCATGGTCACTGAACCAAAATATCTAAAGTCGACTATTAAAGTCAATGTCAAAGAATTATCAATGAATGAGATTAAAAAGCAATATTGCAATGGCAATGATACATCGTGACAATTAATATTAATAATACTACACTTGATTTACTATAATAAGCATCTACTACTATACCTGGAATGTTATCTTTGTTGATAATCTTCCATTTCACTGACACAAGTTTGAAGTTGTTGTCTCTAATATTACACTCTAATGTGTTGCCATTATTATGGATGTCCCATTCTTTTGGTTTCTTGATTGAACTTATCTCTAGCAAGCCTGAGAAAGCATTGAAAAATAAAACATCGATATTTGTTTTTTTTAATTCACAGTTTTCTTGCTGTGTCATCTTGAAAGGTAGTATATAAGCACAAAGCAGAACGAAATTTGAACTGAAACTAGGTGGCACTGTCGACAGCGTTATAGAATTGGATCAATCGTTGCAATCTAATTCATTGTCTCACTTTGACCAAAGCAGTCATGTCCACATATACAATCTACATAAAACGGCTTCTTGAAACATAAAAAACGCCTCTTAGGGAGGTTGTTTACAAGAGAGCAAAAAGTTCGAGGACTATGAAGTCCCATCATGCAATGCGGTCTTTGCACATTTCTATTCGACCCATTTTCTTCAAATGTCTAATTTCTTACCATTTTGTTGCTGATGGGATGGTTTCACATCTGCGGGATAAAAAAACAAGCCATTATTAAAGTTTGCAATAAATATTGAATAATCATATAGTGAGTAAATATAGGAGTCAAGCTGTGTTATTACTCAATTTTTTTTTAATTGACGTTAAATGTTCTTCTGTATATTATAGGTTTCTCTATTTTTTTCATATTGTTGAAAGCATGAATAATATAAAAGAAATTATAATAATAAAATTTATATAAGCACCCATCCACGCTACAATTAAATTAGAATAGCACACTTGAGATTTTCTAGCATCTGAAAATAAAAAAATACAATATTGTTCCTGCTGCTCAAACCTTGGCATGAAGTGGCTCCAAGTTTAGTGTTTGTGAACTTGTTTTGTGGACAAACGTTGCAACTTGTTTGTCCTTGTTGGTCCTGGTACTGGCCTTGTGGACAAAGTGTACAGAATGGCCTCATACCGTCTTTTGAGAACGTACCAGCTGGACAATGATCTGTTGACAACAACAATAGGTATAGAAACCCGTGAAACAAAGTGTAATAATTGCATGTTTACTGGCTTTCCTTTCGAGCTTTTGTTCATGTTTGAAAATAAAAATGCATCGTAATATAAGCACTTTACTAATATAAAACACTTTATTATTCCATTGAATTGAATATATATAAAATCTGAAACACCACAGCATTAAAAAATGCTGGTGGACCATGGCCCCTCAATTATAGAGGAACATAGAACAGGGAATGAATGCGCATCATACCTCTACAGGCAAAGTCCCCTTGTGCAGAAGATGTCCCTGATGGGCACTTATTGCATGTGGTCTGTCCACGTTGGTTCTGATATGTACCCGCAGCGCACATGGTACAGTTGCCTTCTTTAAGATATGTTCCCAGGCCACATTGAGCTAAGTTTAGCAAAATCACGACAAAAAAATTAGTAAAGTAAAACAAACGATGAAATAATGATGAAATAACCTGCACATGCAGTGTTGTCAGTATWAAAGGTACCTCGCAATATCAAAGATTTGCCTTAGACCGTTGTTCGTTTGATAGACATATATGGTAATCATGATAGCCTTAACGTCTTATAACAATCGACCATTTTCTTTGTTTCTACATATTGCACAGAAAGTACAGGGATCCCGCGCAAATGTTAACAATCCTTTGATATGGAAAAACATTGACTAATAATTTCTTCCTTTCTTGCTATCTTCTTTTGTGGAGTCCCAACTTTTTTAAACTACAAATTCAATGCTTACCGCAAGTGTATRTGTTGAAAGAAAATTTCTTTTCATATCCCGACGCACATTGGTCTTCCTTTTTCACTGTTTTAAAATCTATAAATRCAGCAAATCAGACCTTACTTATAAATGTGAGAATGTTCTGGAGAATCAAAATGCACAGACCGAGTGAAGTATCATGGATATATTAAAGCTTTGAAGATTGGCAAAAAATCGGACCGTTATCATTTGCCATTTGTTCGATGGACAATTAGGGAGAACAATATTGTCGGTGGGGTCTTACTTTGTCTTACTTTGCAATGAAATGTTTTTGAACTCTATATAGGTATTGAAACACAAAATTTCGCAAAACAAAATATTCGTTTTGACTATTTAATTTGAGACCTAAGCTAGCCAGCACCTCATGCATGCACATTTATCATTACTCGCTCGAAAGGTTGCAGTGACACGATCAGTGGTCCTAGTTGCAAGAGGAATTTAAAACCATTGTCAGACCTCTCAGTCCCAAAAAAATTGCTTTTTGTTGTTTTTTTCTCACGTGATATATCGTTCGTCGTTATTTGGTGTTCAATGATGTAATACGAGACTGTGACCAAAAGTACCAGACTGTTGTTAATTAAACAAGACTAGGTAAGTCGGACTTCAATTYAATGGTCATCCTCCTCCTTATATATATTTTCTGTATAGTCGACTTCTAATCACCCTATTTACCATGGACTTTAACCCGTTAATTGAGGATGGACTCTAGTTAAGGTCTACTCCAGGTCAGAAAGTTTCCTTTTAAGACGCTCTGAGTAGCCAAGGGACATCAATTATTACCCAAATTTCCTTAAGTCACCTAAAGCTGCCACAGTGGACCGCCTCATTTTTTCTCAAGTTCCTTTAAGTTGTGGCGATTTAAGGTGACTTTCTTGCCTGGGGTAGTCCTTAGTTAGTAAACATACCAACACAATCAGAAGCTACTTCTGGATACCATTTCCCTGTTGCTTTATCACACGTATAATAACCAGATTCTGATGCAGGATAAGTCGTTTTTCCAGCAGGACATGTTCTACTGGCAAATGTTTGTCCAAAGGACGAGCCATGTGATAACCACAAACCAGGAAGACCACGGTCATCAGGCCATGTCGGGCACTTTGTTCCTGATTAAAAAACACGAGGCATGATATATCTGTAAATCTCATATGTTGATTTTGGACATTTCTATGACGTAGCATTGACAGGTTATTGTATAGTATATATATACCCGATTTTATGCCACTCATTGGGCATCTTGAAAAAGGGTTCCAGTCCCTTTGCATCCAAGTGAGACCACCGTTACATATAAGTTTAGTTCTGCACACAAACAATTATTCGAAAGCATCTATCATTTCACGCTTTAAGGTTAGGGCACATCTGCCTTTTAAGAGGGTGCAGGGAACTGCGAGACTATTACTCGATTTTTCTTTTCTCTTCATATTTCCTCATTTCTAAGTTCGTCAACAYTCCAGCTTCGAGACTTTATTTGTGCTGTCTTAAAATCGAAAGCATGCAATATGTTCTTTTATTCACTAGCGAGTCTATTGTAATGCAAAAAGAAGACAATAAAAATGTATGCTTGATTAATAAAGCTAATCTTGCACAAAAGAGAATTCGAAACTGGAGTATTCCTATGATTTACTTTGACTGTATCGTTGACATTTTCACAAAAGAGAGATTGATTTTTTTGAGAATCTACGAGACGAAGGCAAGTGTGATGCGCTACGTGCTTAAAACTCTCACCTCCAATTTCTACTGCAAATTTGCACTGCACACTTTTCCCTGCCCTATCATAGGCAGTAAAAACTTGATAGAATATACCGGTGGCGTCATAAGTTTTCTTGACATTATTTTTTTCAACCCTAACGACACCAACGTTGTCAGAGAATTCCGGCTCCTTGTACGTCACGTGATATGGTCCCTTTGTGTAAGCAGRGAGAAATACGGTCGGCGCAGGGCAAGAAACTATCTTTGGTGGTTCTTGATCTGAAAAAAAAAAAAAGAAATAAATTGTACGTGAAATCTAAGTCAGCTACCAAGGTTACACATAGCAAGGAGCACAGCAATTTTCATTTTGGATCCCCATATTTTCGTATTTTCGATCTTCACTCATTTTGTTGTCTTTTCGAATAACGGCTGACCTCTCTGGGTGCTGTTTTCTTGAGGCCTGAAGGGGTGAGATTGATGCCTTCATCAATCCCATATGAGGTCATGTCGATAGCCTGCGTCACATCCGGACGAACTACGGTTGGTCCGGATGTGACTCAGGCTACATATCTTCGACAATCTTAAAACAAGGATCACAGGACTTCTTCATATAGACGTGCTACTTACCAAGGACCGTAACGCGTTGGCTGCACGTGGCCGTTTTTCCATCTGGATTGGTAACGGTCCATCGCAATTTTGTGATGCCCGCGGGAAACTGGTACTGGCCATTAGCCCCAGCAGGAGAAGTAGTGAAGTTATTGTAATTTGAATAAGGAAACTTCCACTGAGAACCGGCTGAAGTTGTGTTTTTGCCGGGCTGGAGGGTTACAATGATTCCTGCTGGACAACTTATCGTAGGATCTTAAAATAAAAGTAATATTTAATTATTTTTTCTATCAAACAATGACGTCTCAGCGTGTTTACAGTTAAGAAGTAATGGTCATCGACGGTGGAAATTTGGATCCATTATCTTTACCTGATGAATGGCATTTACACAAAGTATACAATTGGTAGTACCAAAAGCCCATGCGTTGAATAAATTAKCCTGAAGCGCATGCTTGTTAACTCTTTTTGTGAGGGTTTTTCTCCAGGTCCGCTGGTTTTCCTCCCTCCATAAAAAACTAGCTGTGAGGAGTGTCGTGTAGTAAAATCATGAATGTTGAGGTAGTGAGTGTGAGTGAATATATAGAGGGCCACAAGTTTATAAGTCTAGAGACTATTACGTGCTACCCTCTCAAAATAAAATAAAAGACTTTCAACCACGGACAGAGTACTTAGAGACAACCCCCACACATCGGGGTCCTGAAATGGTTTCCTACCATGGATATACCGCGCTGTCCATATCTCATCCAAGTATTGTTAGAAGTGATAGTATTTTACTAGTCTACAKTCGAACCTCTATAAGCGTTCACCTCGAGGAAAAACCAGATGACCGCTCAATAGAGGTTGACCGTTTGATAGAGGTCACGTTTACAGAAAATATATATATGAGAATGGACTTTTGGGAAATTAACGAAAGACAGCTGCTTTATTGAAAGTGACCGCTGAAAAGAGGGCCGTAGGTTCGACTGTACTTACCTGGCCAATTTCTTATGCATGTTGCTGGTGTTCCATTCCACGTGCCATCTATTTGGCATTCACGTGAATCTCCTTTGACTTTCTTGTAGCCGTCTGTACAATCTTGCTCACATGGTCTGCCTTTATATCGCCCACCATTCACGCCACAGTCTGAAGGGTCATACCGGACATTTTGAATTTGAGGAAGAGCCGGGCATTTCCTGCCTAAAGCAATTCAAAGATTTAGCTTGTAAAAATGTTCATTAATAACGACCAGTTTGTTGAAATGTTCACATTGTTCAGATTCGAAAGAAGGTTTCTATCATTCCTTTACACTCATCCATCGTCTTGCCTTATTGCAAATGACTATTATTTTATATGACCTAACTAGACCCTGACAGCAGGGTGTACTCGTGCCCTAAAGTTGTTGAAAAGTGCTCCGTACTTATTCAAAACTAGACCCTGACAGCAGGGTGTACTCGTGCCCTAAAGGTGTTGAAAAGTGCTGTCTTATTCAGTACTTTTTCAAAATGAGCTCATTTAAAACTTTTCTTGTGTTTGACCAACCATGTAATATACTGTCTTTCTCAATTTTCAAAAATAGTTCGACCGAGTTGACGCTCTAAGGAGGGTCTGGTTTAGATGTAAAGAATAGTGCTACCAAAGGCATGCAATTCATCTATACTGATAAATCACAAAGTGATTTGAAATCAAACTATATTAAGAGAAAACATTTGTGAAAGTAACTCCTTGTTGATTTACTTTTCATGTAATATTTAGCAGCTTTTGAAGGAACTAGATATACAATAATTTTTGACAAATCTTTAAAAGCGTAGAATCAAATCGTTCACTCTGATAGTCTTCCGCGTGAAAAAAGGTCAAGTATACTACAGTATTTAAAGGTCAAGTATACTACAGTATCAAAATCAGACAGCTCGGCGCCGTGTGGCGAGCGATCTTAATACTCATCTGTGAATAGCATTGTTTTCTTTAACCAGAAGAGACAGAATCCCTCATCAAATTAGAAAATATAGGCTATGCAACTCAGAATCAGCAGACAGCCACGTAGTCAGCTACGAAGTATCGGTTTATATCTCGCCAAGGAAAATGAACTATTTGGCTCGATATACACCAACCTTTATGACCTAAACCAATGTCCTAATACATGCTCTTTCACAGATGAATGTTTTGGAATAACAAAAGGCCTCGAATATCAAAGAATTACTAAAAAACTACAGTAAATCCCGGGCAGTTATTGCTGTTCTATGATACGATTGTTTAGAGTACTGGTTCGTTTGTAGAAGAGCTGTCGATCGTATAACTTGAGATCTCTTCGCCTTTAACAGAAAACTTTCCGCTATCCCAAATACTCAGATGAACAATAAGCGGCAGAGTCTGACCTCAACAGTCGATAATTCCGAGTTTTGAAGAATATTTGTTCAATTCAAAGTGCGTGCTGTATGACACATCCACGGGCTTCATTTATCTACGAAGTATTGATTTATATCTAGTTAGTTTAAAAGATACAGTAAATCCCGAGCAGTTTTGCTGTTCTATGATACGCTTGTTTACAGCCGAGTTCGTAATGTGATATTTCGTTTAGAGATCGGAGTGCGATCGGGGACAAAGTTACACCCGAGTTCGCAATGTGATATGCATTCGGGACGCAAAGGTCAGCCCGAAGACAAAGGTCTCACATAGAACAAAAACATAACAGGCCTAGGGCCTGGTCACGAGTAATAACATTTGGATAACACGCAATATAAGAATTTTGAGCATGTCTGGAAAAACCCCTGTGAATAATTGTCTGTAGGTGTGAAAGAAGGTTGCTATCATTKCACGCTCAACTGTCGTGTCGCTTCGATGTAATTTAAGGCACGGCTACCTTTCAAGATGGCGCAGTGAACCGTAAAGAAGACTATTATCCAGCTTTTTGCAACTGGGTCTATATAACATTTCCTTGATTCGAATACTTTTTCGTGCGGGCCGACAAAACTCAGTCAATAARCAAATAATATTGCACATCGAGTCGTGAAGGAGACTGTTGCTTCGATGTAAAGGCACGGCTACCTTTCAGCATGGCGCAGGTAACCGTRAAGGAGAAAAAATTGCGTAAAATTAACAATTAAGTCTGCATTTGTCAAAAACGTACCAATACAATACTTGGGTGCAGAAGTAATGCCCCTCCATTTACCATCTTGACATTGAATCGTTTTGTAGTTTCTCATATCACTCAACTCATAACCATAGACACATCCTCTGGTGCAGACATCGCCTTCTTTGTTAGCGTTTTCCTTTAAACATCGTGCTGGTGAGTAAGTCGTTAAGCTGTCTGGCTTTTGAGCGCTGCAAATAACAACTGAAATAACAATGACATGAAATCACCGATCCCTTCTTCACGTAGATTAATCACCAAACAATGAGCATTTTACCCAGTGGAGCTGAAACTGTCCGAGCAACAAACACAAAATTGAATAGTTTTGCTTAACTCATTAGCTTTTCTTGATAAAAATGTAAAAATCGAGTAAAAAACATGTAACACAAGGCAAGTTCCTACATATCACAGCAATCGGCATCTTTTCCATACTTTATATCGAAAGAATATTTTAGCTTGTCCTACGTAGCAACAGTAACTAGGGAGATCGATCAAKTGTTTAAAACAAGTTGATTCAAATATTAGAACGACCCTCGCGAAGGCTGACATCCCCGGTGATGGCCTCCTTTCTGTCCGCCCACTCCAGTAYTCACCAGAACGTGTCCCAGAGAAAATTGCATTCGCATTCGAACCAAACAGCTTAATTAACAATTAGACCTCGAGGTCGAGTGGACTACGAGCTAATAGCCCATGAGGCCGAGTCCGCGAGGAAAACATACTAATCGGTCAAATAATGAAAAAAAATTGAAATATCCTTAAAATGATTTATAATTTATTTATTTTGATTTTCCCGCGAGTGGTCTATCACAAATTAGACCATTAGTAGAGTAGCCAATCACAGCGCAGTATGAGTGATAGACCATTAGTATGTTTATACTAACATGTATTAGCAGACTTGTTGTCAAAGGCACAGTGTGCACCATCCATTATGCTTTGGGTTCTAATTCCGCGAGGGCCGGGAGGCGGCCATTTTCAGTTTACCGAAAGTCTATAAATTAATTGTACTGTGTGTTTCGAATCTTTGACCATCTCACTTTTCTAATCAAAACACTAATATAATAGTTTTCAACCATCTGAAATTCGTTTTATSGTGATATTTGGATACTAGAAGTATATTTTGGTGTAAATCAAAAGCAGAGGCACTTAAAGCATAATGGTGCGAACTGGGCCTTTAATATGCTACTTTTTTATTAGCTGGTGAAATCTGGCCCTACAATATATAATAGAAGTGCAAGCAGAAAAAGTACTTACGTTCACATCGCGTTTTACTATTGCTGACCCACTTGTAGCCTGGCTTGCATCTACAATTGAAGCCTCCCTCATAGTTGTAACACAGAGAAGATGCTCTGTCACAGTTATCGATTCCATCCTTACACTCATCAACATCTATTAATATATTATCATAATATCAATATATCTGTATGATAAATTGTAAGCAGAATTAAAATCAGAAATTCAAAGCGATCTTTGAATGTCAAATCCGCATTTTTATTCAGTTGATATTATCATCATCAATAGGCGATTTGCATTATGGCGTCATTTACTACAACTACCAGAATGCTTTGCCCACTTTCTTTTGTAATGCAATTAGTGCTAATTGTTTTACTAATCGCTAAGGGGATTAAAAATCTGAATAACAAAGAAAATGCGCAAGGCTTTCTGGTAGTTGTAGTAAAGTTACGCCATCATGCAAATGGCCTATTCGCCGGCAAGCCCTAATATTTCTCTCGCTTGCTACAAAAGTGAACAGCATGGGCTTCCCATGTTGAAATRCATCAATGTCGCCCGACTGCACGCTCTAAAAGCGTTCAGTTGTCAAATATTAATCAGACGATTACTAATGATTCTTCCTATAATCCTTTTCGATATCGAGGTGCATGTGCTAGGGGTGATCGAGGTCCATCATASCACGTGACAAGAAAGTGTATTGAAAATTCTGTATGCCTTACCAACACATTTTCCTTCGTCAATTTCATAACCGCGATTGCATTTACATCTGTAGGAGCCTGGGGTGTTGACACAGTAGCCTTGAATACATGGTTTCCCGAAAAGGCATTCATTTTTATCTGTAGGTATGACATAGATGTACCAGTTATTTAAATTTCCATGTTTGTTATTAAAGCCAACGGTCAAATATCTTAATAATGACCATGGGACTTATTTAATTCCTTAAGGGACTGTGCGATAACTACCAGGAGGGGGTGGGGTGGGAGGACGTAAAACCAAAGGGGTGGGCATAAGAGAAAATTGATGGCAAGATAGGGGGGCTCAAAGTAAAATTACCTGATTAACAGAGGGGGGGGGGGCCTTAAGTTTCATTCAAAATTTTAAGAATTTTCGATTTCTCTCAAAATGCTGGAAATCGCAATTCCAAGAGTTATTTCTAATATAGCACCTTTGTGGAGATAAAGGAACATCTGAGAAGAAAATGTCTCTCATCTTCACATTTTTGGAGAGGACATATTCTCTCTTCTGGTTTGGCATATGGGCGTGAATACCTCCCTCTTTCAATTTCTAAATAATATGATTACTAATTCTAAGTTTAGTAAGTGCTGTCCTATGTTTGAGAGATAACGTTTCTGTTGGCAGTTTTTTTTTAAGTTCTAAGTTTSTTTCTTTGAGTGTCTTTTCTTCCCATATCATCTTGAATTTCCCCTAACCATGTTTGTATTTCAATGTCCTCTAATCTCTGTTTTATTTGTTTTGCTAGTATTTTTCCTTTCGTTTTGTCCAAATTTTGTTGCCATACATAACTATAGGCTAATTTGTTTAAAATTTGTTTGACTTTCCCGCCCCAGCTACATGAATCTGGAGTGTTGTCAACAGCACAGTCTTGTAACGTCAGATATGATAACTTTATTTTATCAGCAATAACGAAATTAATCCAAAACTTTATAATCACTCTTAATCTGCACTTACTCTTAAAGGAAATGGTCCCAGTTCTGATCTGCAGGCTATTACCCCCCCCTCCCGGGTAATTTATTGCACAGTCCCTAAAGACGCACCGTGCATCCGAGAACCTTTGCGATAGTTTGCTGGTTTAAAAATCATCTCTTGTTGATAGGTAAACTTTCTGATTGGCTCAAAATCATAGCGATTTTTGGTATCTGATGAWATCATGCACAGCTCATGACAGCTTCTCGAAAACATGTAGAATTCTAAGTCATTCTTTACGACATTTTTCTTTCCGTAAACTGTACTGTGACTTCAAAATTATTTAGCACTCATTATCATTTTTTAAGTTTTTTCGATTCAAATATACCTAATCCTGACAATGTTTTGGAATATAGTGCACGATAAAAAATCGTGAAACAGTTCTTAGCAATCAACAACTTATAAGATTTATCTATCAACTGACTAAGAATTCACTGGGGCATAAACACAATGCCAAAAAGAAAATTCTCTTTGTTTATGCCTCACTGAATTCTTAGCTAATTGATAACAAAATCTTATTAGGCGCTAATAGGCCGTTTGCATTATGATGTAACTTTACTACAACTACCAGAGAGATTTGCTCATTTTCATTGTTATTCAGATTTTTAATCACCTTGGAGATTAATAAAACAATTGGCACTAATTGCATTACAAAAGAAAGTCGGCAAAGCATTCTGGTAGTTGTAGTAAATGACGCCATAATGCATATCGCCTATTTGTTAAGAATTGTTTCACACTTATGTGGCATGCACACTAATCGATCTAGCAAGAAGTATAACAGACAGTCTTGGGTTAATTACATCATGACGCTCACCTCGACAATATCCAGATGCTTCTGTGTAACCAGGTGGGCAGATACACTGGTATGAACCAATCGTATTGTAACACTTAGCTAAAGAGTCTTTGCATGGATTGGTAGTACGACATTCGTCGATATCTTAAAAACAATTAGAATTAATCAAGGTATAGTCAATTGTATTTGTTATTATTGCTGTTGTTGTCGCTGTTGATGTTGTTGTTGCTGCTGATGCTATTGTTATTGTTATTGTCATTATTGCTGTTGTTGTCGCTCTTGTTGTTGTTGCTGCTCCTATTGTTGTTGTTGTCGCTGTTGCTGTTGTTGCTGCTATTGGTACTGGTGTTGTAGTTGATGCTGCTGCTATTGTTATTGTTGTTGCTGTTGTCGTTTTTCATTAAGTTTTATCTATTGCCATAACTACACGTATTCACTTGAYTTTTTGCTTTTCGCTACGCTCACTCGTGAGAGGTCTTTTCAAGATAAAATYCGTATCTTCGCGCGCCCATGTAATATCCTCTATATCATAAATATAATATCATACATATAATTTGATCATATCATAAAAATGCAACGGTAAAACAGACAATACATCTACTTCAGTTACTAGTTCAACGAATTGCGCTCAGACGCTATGTTTAAGAAAGAAAACAATCAACCTTTATTTATTATAAAGGTCAGGGTGATCGCATCACTTGCAGGACGTGTCATTCAACTGTATATTCTAGCTTTACACAGGAAGACCAAATATATGATGAAATCTTAAACTTACCAATACACCTTCCATCCGATCCTGTCTTATAACCTTTTGTACACTTTACTAAAAAAAATAATAAAAACGAGGAATGGGCACATTTATTTTGGATTCTCTTGGATTTCCCTGCTATTCAGAGACCATGTTGGSAAAGGAGAAACCGTGGCAAGACCTTATGTGCACAATTATGTTTACATTTTGAATCCATAGCATAAGCCTTTTATGTTTTAACCTAGCCACCACCTAATGAACTCTTGATATTGAAATATTTGAGTTTTGTATATGTGCCAAACGGTTTTAAATA